GTTAAAGGTTGCACACACTTTTAATCCCAGCAGAGGAAGGAGGATCTTTGTGATTTGAAGCTAGTGTGATCTACATACTAAGTTCCAGGTCAGGCTGCATAGACAAACTTGTCCCCCAAGATAACTGAGTGTGTGTGTGTGTGTGTGTGTGTGTGTGTGTGTGTGTGTGTAATTTTTTAAGGTAGTTCAGGAGAGATAGCTCAGGGGAGCATCTGCTGCTTTGGCAGAGCACCCAGGTTTGGTTCCTAGCTCCCACATAGCAGCTTACAAGCCTCCGTAACTCCAGTTCTAGAGGATGCAGGGCCCTTTTTAGGCAATGATGCTTGTTGCTGAATATTAGTTGAAGATGTGTTACATTCTTTTTTTTTTTTTTTTTTTTTTTTTGGTTTTTCGAGACAGGGTTTCTCTGTAGCTTTGGAGGCTGTCCTGGAACTCACTTTGTAGACCAGGCTGGCCTCGAACTCACAGAGATCCGCCTGCCTCTGCCTCCCGAGTGCTGGGATTAAAGGCGTGCGCCACCAACGCCCGGCTGTGTTACATTCTTTATGCTGTGGAATAATTGTTTAATGATGCGAAGATGTGTTGCATTCTTTATGTTGCATTTGTTTAACTTTGTGACGCTGTGTAACTTTGCCTGTCTAAAACACCTGATTGATCTAATAAAGAACTGAATCGCTAATAGCTACGTGGGAGAGAGAAACAGGTGAGGCTGGCATGCAGAGAAGATAAGGAAAAGGAGAAGCGTATGCGATGCCAGGAGTCAGCCACACAGCCAGCAACGGAGTAAGAAGTAAAGAGAGACATATAGAATAGAGAGAGGTAACAATAGCAAAAGAGAAATGAGATAATTTGAGAAAAGCTGGCTAGAAACAAGCCAAGCTAAGGCCAGGCACTCATAAATAAGAATAAGTCTCTGGGCCAGGTGTTGGTGGTGTATGCCTTTAATCCCAGCACTCAGGAGGCAAAAGCAGGCGGATCTCTGTGAGTTCAAGACCAGCCTGGTCTACCGAGCGAGTTCCAGGACAGAGTCCAAAACAATACAGAGAAACCCTGTCTCGAAAAACCAAAAAAAAAAAAACAAAAAAAACAAAAAAAAGAATAAGTCTATGTGTTTATTTGGAAGCTGGGTGGTGGGTCTACAAAAGACAAAACAAAACAAAACTACAGATGCTGACCTTTTTCTCTTTGAGGCCATAATTATGCCTGTCTCGTCAGTGAGGCTGTTGTGGAGTTTGTGACCACAGATTCAATACGATTATAATTAGAAGATTTATTGATTATCTGCCAGCGGAGCAAACAATTTCTGAAAGAAATTTGAGGTTTCTGTGTAGGAGGACTCTGGGGAAGGACCTTAAAAGGGGAATATCACATAAAGACCTTCAGTATCTTTGTAGGCAAGTAAAATCTGTGCTGTTCTGCCAAGTTAAGTGGTTAAGGCAACTCAAAACAATCCTTGGGGATCTATGTAAGCAAGTTACAGAAAGCAAAACAAGCAATCATATCGTAACAAGTAGATAGTCATGACTTTACATTGGGGGGGGTCACTGAGCCAGGGTTACTGGGAACTTATCTTCCAGGGACTGGAGTTAGTGACAAACAGCTGGTGGGATTTGCTTTTGTTTCGTTTTGTTTTTGGAGACAGGGTTTCTCTGTATTGTTTTGGAGCCTGTCCTGGAACTCGCTCTGTCCTAGTTTGTAGACTAGGCTGTCCACAAACACACAGAGATCCGCCTGCCTCTGCCTCCCTCGTGCTGGCATTAAAGGTGTGCACCACCAACACCCGCGGTTGGTTTGGTTTTTGAGACAGGATTTCTCTGTGTAGCTTTGGAACCTGCCCTAGAATTTGCTTTATAGACCATGCTGGCCTTTAACTCACCTCTGTGATAATTTTTAAAAGTTATTTTTATTTCATATGCTTTCATGTTTTGCCACATGTGTAATCTGTATGAAGGTGTTGAATCCCTGAAACTGGAGTTGCAGGCAGTTATGATCTGCCATGTGTGTTGTTATTTTAAGTTAGAAGGCACGAGATGGAACACAAACTAAGAGATACGTTAACCACAGAGTTTATTAAAGGGTGGTTTAATAAACCAACGCAAAGTTACACAGCGTCACAGAGTTTATTAAAGGGAGAGGGAGAAGAGAGAGAGATAAAGGGAGAGAGGTAAGAGAAGAGTAAAAGGAGCGTGAGAGAGTGAGAGAGAAAAGAGAGAAGCGTGTAAGAAGAGTGAGACAAGAGAGCATAAGTGGGCAGGGGTCCTTTGCACCTGCATGTAGACTGGTTCTCATGGAACTCTGGGCTGGCCAGAGTGCTGCCCGAGTGCATTCTGCCAGGTAACAGGGGCAGGCCAGTATGATGCCTGAACCCTTCAATGTGGTGTTGGGAATTGAACCCAGGTCCTCTGGCGGAGCAGACCACTGAGCCATCTCTCCTGCCCTGACATTTTTTTTTCTTAAAGAGAAACTTTCATCAAAGTTGGAGGGGTTCCATGAGAGGGCATGTTTAAAGTGGAAAGGGTTAGGTGTTTAGAAATGATTACAGAATAAAGCAAGCAATAGTGGGCAGGAGGTGAGGAGATAACTTGTCTGTTTCTGGTGTACAAAATAATTCCCCCGCCCCAGCACCTCTCCTGAGGTACTATGATTATCTAAAGGTCATCAAGCAAAGGACATTGATCCATGGGATATTTTCGATCCAAGTCAGGAGAATCTGAACAGAATATGGCAGTCAGCTCTTACTGGGACTAACCTAACTGCCTAACTTCTCTGTCTCCTGCTTCAATTCCTGGAGAAGGGGAAGTTCCATTTCTTGGGGTGTATTGTGCCAATAGTCTAACAGCCAAAGTGAAGAATGTATCCAAATGCCTTCTTCCTTGGGGGCTGGAGAGGCAGCTCAGCATTTTAGGGCCCTGGTCACTCTTGTAGAGGACTCAGATTCGTTTCCCAGCACCCAACATGTCAGCTCACAATTACCCATTAACTCCAGTTCTAAAACATCCTCTTCTGACCTCAGGAAGCATCGGGCACTCGGGCAGTATACATACATGTAGGCAAACACTCTCACACACAAATCTAAAACAACAGTAAGCATCTTCTTTCCTGCCAGGCAAGCAGCAAAGCGGCGGTTTGCAATATGTGGGTCTCGACAGGACCATGTATCAGATATTACATTACAGTTCATAACAGTATCAAAATCATAGTTATGAAGTAGCAACACAAATAATTTTACGGTTGGGGGCCACTACACCTAAAGGGTCACAGAGAGGTTGCAGATCATGTCAAGTAAAACCTTTCATACTCTATCTCCTCCAGATGGAGGCAGAGTTTTCTGTCCCGTAAGTCAGTTCCCAAGTAACCATACGGAGACCTATTATTAATTATAAACGCTTGGCTGATAGCTTAGACTTGTTACTAAGTAGCTCATACAACTTAAATTACTCATGTTTTTATCTGCAGTTTATCATGGTTGGCTCCTTTTCCAGCAGGGTTTGTCCATCTCCTCCTGCTTCCTCTGCACCTTGCTGACAACCCCGTCTTTCTTTTCCTGGTGTCCTTTCAGTCTGGGTCTCCTGTTTCACCTCTTCCTGCCTCGCTATTGGACAGTTGGTTTTTTATTAAACCAATGAGAGTAATACATATCCATAGTGTACCAAAGGGTTATTACACAGTATCCAGATATCAATCTCAAACAAGCTACATGAACTGCTCCCCCACAAAAGTGTTGATATAGAGATGGGTTGAGGTTTTTGTTTGTTTCGTTTTGTGAAGGTGTTATAGAGATGGGTTGGATTTTTTGTTTTGTGTAGGTGTTAACAGAGACAGATAAGGGTGTTGTTCCCTTAGAACTGGAGTTACACAGTTGTGAGCAACCATGTGAGTGCTGGGAACTGAACTCATGTCCTCTGGAACGGCAGTCAGTACTTTATATATATATATATATATATATATATATATATATATATATATATAAATTTATTCATTACGTATAGTGTTCTGCATGCATGCATGCCTGCAGGCCGGAAGAGGGCGCCAGATCTCATTACCGATGACTGTGAGCCAATATATGGTTGCTGGAAATTGAACTCAGGACTTCAAGAGGAGCAGCAGCCTCTTAACCTCTGAGCCATCCCTCCAGCCCCAGTCAGTACTCTTAAGCGGTAAGTCATCTCTCCAACCCCTATAGAAATGAGAGATAAGAAATTAAGATAGAAGGGGAGTGGGGCTGGGGATATGGTTCAATGATTAAGAGCTCTAGACACTCTTCCAGAGGACCCAGGTTCAATTCCCAGCACCCACATGGCAGCTTATAGCTGTCTGTAACGCTGGTTCCCCGGGAACTGACACAGGAAATGGCATTATAAGGAGTGTGTAGCGTGGGCCACTCTAAGAGGAAGGTAGGCACAGCTGGACTCTGGGAGTCACTGGCTCTTTCCCATGATCCAACAGCCACGACGAAGGGCCAAGGGACAGCTTGGTCCTGCTCCCTCTCTAATGCGGAACCTGGGAATCTTGCAGTCTCTAGAAGCGGCTGACCAGTGACGGCCCTCAACTTTCTGGCTCTACGTACATCATCACCGTGCACAGCACTAAGGAAGGGTCAGAAGCCGCTTCGAGTCTGCAACGCGGGTTCTAGTGCCTTCTGCCACCCCACTGGCGTATGATTCTATGTGAATCGCTTCTCTTTGTTGTTCTGAGAGATAGCCAAGGGATATCGGCTTAGTTTTGAATGTAAAATTAGAACATTGTACTGCGGCGCGGCCTCAGCACCTCCTAAATCTGTGTTCCTTTCTCTGAAGTTCTGAGGGGGCTCAACAGACCCGCACAGCCTCGCGGCTCCCACGCTGGCCACGGGAGCGGAATACGCACCGCAGGCCGAGCCCACTAACCGAAACTTCAGACCATGCCCCCTAGCCGGAAGGCCCGCCCACCCGAGCCCCCCATCCCCGCCTCGAGGCGCACGCCGCCGTCGCGGGAAGCGGTGCATTGTGGGGCTTGTAGTGTGGCGGGGTCGCGCGGGTGGGCGCGGCCACAGCACCATCTTCCGCGGCTGGCTGGTCGGCTTTGCGCGGGCCTGAGCGACTCTCCCTGGCCAGATGGCGCCGCGGCCGCTGGGCCCATTGGTGCTGGCTCTGGGTGGCGCCGCGGCCGTGCTGGGCTCGGTGCTGTTTATCCTCTGGAAAGCGTACTTTGGCCGCGGCCGGGAGCGGCGCTGGGACCGAGGCGAGGCCTGGTGGGGCGCGGAGACCGCCCGCTTCCCTCAGTGGGACGAATGGGAGGTGAGTGTGGAAAGCGGCCGAGGGCTGGGCGGCCTACGCTTGCTGGCAGCGCCGAGTGCTCGTGCGGGGGCCTGGACCACGCAAGACGGTCCTCGGGGTTCGGGAGCCCTGAGGGCGCCGCAGGAGCCAGCCTGGCACCTGCGCGGTGAGCGAGCGCAGTGGCACCGCCCCGGGGGATGCCGGGTAGATCCCTCAGGCCGGGGGCGGCTGACCCTGAGGTCTTGGGAATGGCTCGGGGTTACAGTCTGATCTGCGATAGGGAAGAGTGTGTCCGAGACCACTGGGAGCGAAAACAGAAAAGTGAGGGCTGTTTTTCAGTTCAGGACTCGAAAGGCAACTCCTGCCCTGCTACTCCAGGGATGCGTGCGTGGGCACCGCCGTGCCTTCGTTGTCCCTAGGAAAGGAAGGGTCAGGAGGGATTGCAGACCAGCCCTCATCTCTGTCCCGCAGCCCGAGGACGAGGAGGACGAGCCGGCATTGGAGGAACTGGAGCAGCGCGAAGTGCTAGTGCTGGGCTTAGACGGCTCTGGGAAAAGCACGTTCCTGCGCATGCTGTCTGGGAAGCCACCGCTGGAAGGCCACGTCCCCACCTGGGGCTTCAACTCCGTGCGGCTGCCCACCAAGAATTTCGAGGTGGACCTGTTAGAGAGTGAGCAAGGGACCCCGCCTCCCCATCATCACTGCTGGCGGGGCTTAGATTCTTTGGAGGAGTCTGTAAAATGTGTGTCTAAGCAGGGGAGGTTCCTTACCACGTTGCTTTCTCTCTCAGACACATGGAACTTGTTCTGTGCTTTGAAATGCTTGCTTTTTCTTCGTTCATGGCTGGCTCCTCCTCAGCCTCTCTTCAGCTCACATCTAGCTGACATTCGAAGACACGCCCCCACCCCCTATCCAAGACCAACCACAACCTCTAGCCACATTCCTGTGTTCTGCTGCCTTGCTTTCTGTGTCTTATCTGATTGCCTGGCCCGTTCTGGTAAGGGAGGGAGTTCTCAGAGCAGAGCTCCAGGCTCCTCGTTTCTGTATCCCCAGCACCCAGATCAGTGCTTGGCACCTGGTAAGCACTCAGTAAATCCTTGATGAGTGCCTGCTACGTGCCTAGGCATTGTGTTGAGGCTCTGGGGGATTTAGAGTGGACAGGTAATAGACGCAGAACCAGAATGGGCTGCAGGGGAACCAAGGGAAACTGAGCAGAGGGCAAAAAGGAACAGAAAGGCCGCCCCAGGTGCAGACACTATCTCTGTAGATAACCTTGCTTAGTGTGACCCTGCACAGTGTTTCCAAGGGAAGAGAAAGGGATAAGAAGAATGAATGGGAATGAGTCATCAGTACACTGGCAAGGCAAGGGAGTCTGACTTTTCCAGGCATCCCGACCCCAGACTTTTGATCGTAGTTGTCACTGATCAGGAAGGAAGCTAGAAACTGGTAAGAGGCAAGGCAGCTGCAGACAGACAGCTGATGCTACCACTTGTAGCATACCATGTGCCAGTCCCAGGAAGGGACTGTCACAGAGGGTACCTTTGGGTCTGCTGGGACCTCTGCTCAGTAAGAGGAGACCGGCTCGCAAAGGCAGCTCGTAAGAGGGCTGACTGGCTCTGGCCCATGTGCTTTCTTTGTCCCTGGGTAGTAGAACCTTGGGAGCTGGAAGTGGGGTGGAGCCAGGTCACAGGGAGCCCTGGGCTCTGACCTGGCCCTCGGCCTCTCTTCAGTTGGAGGCAGCCAGAATCTGCGCTTCTACTGGAAGGAATTTGTCAATGAGGTAGATGTGCTGGTGTTCATGGTGGACTCGTCTGATCGGCGACGGTTGCCCCGGGCTCGGCAGGAGCTGCAGAAACTGCTGGACAAGGACCCTGATCTGCCTGTTGTTATAGTGGCCAACAAGCAGGTGAGACACGGGAGGTAGGCTGAGGGGAGCATGGGAGGGCTAGAGCTTGAGCTCTGTGTCCAGAGAGTGCCTGAAATACTGTCTCTACCCCTTCGCCTGTCATCTTTCCCGTACTAACTGTGTCTTTTCTCTTGTCTGCCTCTTCTGTAACCAGGGGAGATGCAAGAAGTAGCTACTAATTGCTTTCTATATGCCAGGTGTAGTTTTGGAATGCTTTGGTTTTCTGGAGTTTTGAGACAGGATCTCGAGCACTTATGTGCACTATGCAGCCCAGACAAGAAGTGGGGTACATTAATAATGAGTGAGTGCACAGTATTGAGGCGCAGTGTGAACACCTGAGAGCCATCACCCCACTTCAGTCTGACTACTCCCATGAAAGGCCTGCAGTCTCTAAATGCCTGAAGTTATTAGAGATCTTCCTCAGAGTTTCTGTTGTTGAGCTGGAGTAGAACTCAGTAGTAAGTTGCTTGTTTAATATGCGTGAGGCCCTAGGTTCTGAACTCCCAACCCCAACAACTCCCCTGCAAAGAAAGATATGTCCTCTCAGGACCAGAGACAGACTTCATGTGCAATCCTCAACTACAGTGGACCGCCACTGTCAAGAGTGCCTTGAGCCGGGCGTTGGTGGCGCACGCCTTTAATCCCAGCACTTGGGAGGCAGAGGCAGGCGGATCTCTGTGAGTTCGAGGCCAGCCTGGTCTACAGAGTGAGTTCCAGGACAGCCTCCAAAGCCACAGAGAAACCCTGTCTCGAAAAACCAAAAAAAAAAAGAGTGCCTTGAGGCTTGCACCAGCGTTTCTCACTTGTCTCTTTGATCTCAGATTTGCCCTGCCTGTCAGGGAACACTTGATAAGTATTTATAAATACAGCCACCATTTGTCTACCTGGAACAGTTCCCATTTATGCCTGTTCTGATTTAACTTTTTTTTTTTTTTTTTTTTTTGAGACAGCCCTGGCTGTCCTGGAGCTCAATATGTAGACCAGGTTGGTCTCAAATCTATGGAGATCCACCTGCCTCTGTCTCCCAAGTGCTGGGATTAAAGACGTGCCACTAAGCCCAGCCCTAGTGCCACTATTAATGGTGTCTTGGAGCCTTTTGTTGTCTTTAAAAAAAGTTTTATAGCATTTTAGTTACTTTTCTGTTTCTATGAAGAGACACCATGATCAAGGTGACTTGAGTATATTGGTGGCTTGCTTACAGTCACTGTTGAAACCTTGAAGACTCCCACCACCATACTTCCTCCTACAAAGCCACAATCCCTAACCCATTTTAAACAGTTCTACTAACCTTGAGCCAAGCATTCAAATACATGAGCCTGAGAGAGTCATTTTCATTCAAACCACCACAGTAGGCAACAAGCGAGGGCCTGCCATGTACGAATTGCTTCAAGAATCTTGAGGCAGTGATAAAACTTGAAGGTATCATTGCCAACTACAGTATCTAGTAGCCTTTTCCCTCACCCCCATCCAAGCTAGATTGTCTGGAAGTTACCTCACTATATGATCTTACATAGTAGGTATAAGAAATGGGTACTGAGCCTGGTGTTGGTGGTGCACGCCTTTAATCCCAGCCCTCAGGAGGCATAGGCAGGGGTATCTCTGTGAGTTCGAGGCCAGCCTGGTCTACAGAGTGAGTTCCAGGACAGCCTCCAAAGCCACAGAGAAACCTTGTCTCGAAAAACCAAAAAAAAAAAAAAAAAAAAAAAAGAAAGAATTGGGTACTGGTGATACACGCTTTTAGTTCCCACACTCAGGAGGCAGAGGCAGGCAGATCATTGAGTTCAAGGCTAGCCTGGTCTACAGCGTGAGTTCCAGGACACTCAGAGCTATACAGAGAACCTGTCTCAAAAAAAGGAAAAAAAAAATGGAGTAGGGATTCCAAAAGGTTCAAAAGACAAGTTTGGTTATCAATATTAATTGGGAACCTAGCTCTGCCATCTATCACTGTTACTGGAGCTAAATGACTTCATTGAACCAACTTTGTCATCACTTACATGGGCTGAGAATCAGAGACTTGGAAGGCAGATGCCCATCGTGGTGCCTGACAGTAGGAAGGGCAGAAGAAATGTTTCTTACCACACTGGTGAGTGTTCCATGAAAAGAGGGTGCCACAAAGGAGAGTCAGGATGGAGGAGGACACGGTTTATTCAGTAAGATCTACAGGTACCTCCTGCCATGTAGGGTTCTGCTTTTCCCAGAGTACTAGCTGAACACTTATGTCCCTCATGGATGACAAGGGTGGGGTCACACTGCTAGCATTGTCTGACAGCCATGCTTGTGTTCCTTGCAGGACCTGAGTGGAGCCATGAGTATGGTGGAGCTGCAGCGGGAGCTGGGCTTGCTTGCTAGTCACAACCAGAGGGAGGTTTTCCTCCTGGGGGCCAGCATTGCCCCTGAAGGATCTAACTTCGAGGAACCTGGCACCGTGCGCATCTGGAAACTGCTCTTGGAGCTTCTCTCCTAACTGGGGCCACCCGCTTGCTGCCCAGCCTTGGAGGCCACAATTCTGCTTCCTCCTGCATCTTCATTGCCAGCCTAGGCCTTGGGCAGGAGCACTGTAGCAACACCTCCTTTGTCCGCTCAGGAGCATGGCCAGAATCATGTAGAAGCCTTCCTGATGAGCGGACTTGGGGCAGGTGTCAGGCAGAGGAGATGGTGACTGCTTCACATAGTGTAGCTCCAGCTCCGCTCGCCTTTCCACACAGGTAATGCTCAGCGGGCTTAGTGCTCCTTCCCCGCAGGCCCTACTGGCTGACCAACCAGTGTGGGTGTCATAGGTACTCCTGAGCCCCCCTTTTCACTGTTCCCTCCTGGTGACATCAGACACTGTCCATGTGGGAAGGTTCTGGGTGGAGCACAGTAAATCCTTGCTCCCAGGCCCTCATCACCCTCTAGCCCCTGCTTTGTCTGTGGCCTTGTGTTTCTGCCTTTCTGGCCCCACGGCCATCATTTTTAAAAGGAGGTGATTTCCTAGGTTTTTTTCTAAATGCCAGTCCTGGCAATGCCAAATAAGGACCAACTTGAAGACTTTAGCAGAGAATACTCTGAACACCTCCCTGCTGTTAAGGCCTGGCCTGCCAGCCTTTATTGACCACAAAGTGCAGTTCACCACACAGGGTGAAGGAGATGACCTGATGCTTTTGTACTAACTTTGCCAATGCCCATGTTTACACAAGTGTAGAGAAAGAAGGAACCTGAGTACTGGAACGAGACTGGATTGGGGGGGGGAGGGGGCATCTTATTTATTTATTTATCAAAGGAATAGGCCAAAGTTCAAGGTTGTGTTTATAGGTGCTGTAATCAAAACCCTAGATTGTCACAGAAAACTTGAAGCTTTGAGAATTGTCTGGAATCATGATGGACACTGAGGTAACCTACAGGTATCAATGGAGACAGAACTATAGCTCCCTCTCCCCGCCCCAGCCTTGAGACCATAACTGGAGACAAGCACTTCAAGGGAACTTAGTACATTGATTCTACTATACGGCCCAGGACATAGGACAGGACTAGTAGAAGAGCCATCAGTGTGGCTTTGGGTACATCATCCAGCCTTCTGGGATCATTTATTTGCCAGAAAACAACGAAATTCTGTGTTCTCTGCAATGAACATTCCGTGACTGTGGCAATCAATGCAAAAACGGTCTTTGTGCTGACACTGATGCAAGCAAAGAAACTTTGGTCTGCCAAGGCTGCTGAATGAGAGAACACCTACGGACTGCTTTTCTTTAAGGCTTTACTCCCTCCCCCCTTTTTTTGAGACAAGCTGTTACTCTAGCCCAGGCTGGCCTTGAGTTCATGGAAGTCGTCCTTCCTCAACCTCCCATGTGCTGATTTCAGGAAGCATTGAGCCATCATGCCTGGCTTTGTTTGCATTTTGAGAATACGTTGTTTACCAATTGCCCAACATATAGCCTGGGAAGTGGAAAGCTTACAAGTTGAAGTGAGCAGAGTTATCAGAAGAGGGACCCACTGTGCCCTTAGACTCCTGCCCATAAGAATGGAATTATCACAAGACAAATCAGTCTCACTAGAAGTGATTTTTCTGCTTTTGTATTAAATATTTAAGGAATGACTTGGATTTTAGAGTATTTGCAGTTTTGTTGGCTACTTCTCATCTTGCCATTAGGAAGTTTGTATCATTGTTCTCAGGATTCCACCTTATTCTCCAGTGCTTAAAGCTTACCTTGGAACCAGACTTGTTGAGAAGAACCCTTTTTTATGGTTTAAAGTCCCTTGTCTAATGAGTATCATTGTGTATAACTGTCATAGTCCCCCAGGTGGAGGGATGAATTTCAGAATAAAGAGTTTCACTGTGTCTACTGAAGCAGCTTTACCAGAGGCCAGGCCTAGTGGTCTGTGATCCTAGCTACCTGGGAGAAGGCACAGTTGAGGTCTGCCTGGTTTACAGAGTGAGTTCGAGGACTGTCTGGACAATTAATTAGGTGAGACCTTGACTCAGTAAAAAGCCAGGCAGGCTTGTGAGGTGACTCAGCAGGCAGCTTGCCACGAAAGCCTGGTGATCTGAGTTTGGTGGAGTGCTTGCCCAGCATGTGCTAGGTTCAAATCCCAAGCACTAGGAAAAAAGCAACAAACCCAGTAACCACTTTCTGGGCACTCTGCACTTAATTGTCTGGGAGGAACTGCCAACATTACAAGCTGGCTTTGGACTGTCTATGGCATCACCTGTCATGGGTCCAGACCTCAGACCAAATTGAGGCTGAGCAGACACTTTTACCTCCCAGCCTCAGAGGGCAGTCCTTTCTAGTTGCTATACCTGGAAGATGAGCATCAGAGGGCCAGGGGTAGAGTTCCTCAATGTGTGGAAAGTGTCTTTCTGTCCACTACATGTGCCCAGATGCATAGGGCCACCAAGGACAACTGTGTGAGCTGGACTGTCAGCAGGTTCTGAGGCACACAATGCCAAAATGGGTATGTCTAGTGAATCTTCATCCTGAGGGAGGAGTGTGCCTTGTGTTTATAGGTCCTGTCAGGGCAGCTCTGGAAAGTGAGTTATCAGACAGCAAGTTCCAGTCCTTAACCCCCTTGACCTTCGAGACAGTGACCTAACACTTTCTAACTCCTGGAAAGGGATCTACTGGATAGTACCAGAGTGAGGGGAACAGAAACCAGCTCAGAAGTCTTCTGCCAACTGGGCATAATGGCGCACACCATTAAAGGCAACACTAGGGAGGCAGAGGCCGATGGATCCCTATGAGCTGGATGCCAGCCTGGTCTATATAGAGTTTCAAGACAGCCAAAGCTAAAAAACACTTCTCCCTCCACACTCAGGGCCAGAAGGCCACACGCATGTCCTGAGTACATGCCTTGGGCAGACACTAGAGCCCAGGCAGAGTCCTTGCGAGCAGCTCAGTTTGGCAAGGGGCATCAGGCAAGGTTAAGGGCAACATGAGTGAGAGTGCAGCTCACACCGCTTGCACAGTGGCCTCGTCTTCAGTTAAAAGGACACAGAAAACTTACATGCTCGAGGGCTGGAGAGATGGCTCAGAGGTTAAGAGCACTGACTGCTCTTCCAGAGGTCTTGAGTTCAATTCCCAGCAACCACATGGTACCTCAAAGCCATCTATAATGATATCTGATGCCGTCTTCTGGCATGCAGATCACTCATACATAAAATATAAATATAACTTTTAAAATGTACATTTTTAACAGGGCGTTGGTGGCACACGCCTTTAATCCTAACTCTTGGGAGGCAGAGGCAGGCGGATCTCTGTGAGTTCAAGGTAAGCCTGGTCTACAGAGTGAGTTCCAGGACAACCTCCAAAACAATACAAAGAAACCCTGTCTCGAAAACACAAAAAGTACATCTTTCCAAATGACACAGGCAATGTATAAAGACGTGCTTTTCAAGTATACTGGAGACTATAGGTGCTCCCAAGAGGAATTTCTGGCAATTCAAGAGGCTTTTACATGATTCATAGTTGGGGACAGTTAGGTCTTAAAATGCCCACCTCACCCCTTGCCTATGATCCTGTTGCAAAACAGACATCACCTTTTCATGCTAATGCACGCAGCAGGCCTTGCCCCAGACATGGCCACATCATGGAGCACAGTGGGCGACACACAGTGGAGCAGTACCTAGTGGTCTGCCAGTCTCAGAGGGCAGTTTTAGGTCCCTGATGTTTTGTCTTTTGCGTTTTTGTGGTGTTTTTCAAGACAGGGTTTCTCTGTATTGTTTTGGAGGCTGTCCTGGAACTCACTCTGTAGACCAGGCTGGCTTCGAACTCAGAGATCCACCTGCCTCTGCCTCCCGAGTGCTGGGATTAAAGGCGTACGCCACCAACGCCCAGCTCCCTGATGTTTTCTTTACGCCATGGCCAACAAAAGTAATCAAAAGTGAGCAAATAGGGCCTGAGTCCTTACCCTCCCACAGGCAGCCCAGGCTTCCTGGCAAGGTTCCGGAGGAAACCGAGGCTGAGAGCACTCGAGGAAGAAGGTGGTACCTACAAATGCCCATGACTGCAGTACTTGTCAAGCTTGATGATCCGTCTGCCCTAATAAAGTTAGTTTTCCCTGGGAAAGAGCTTAGCTGGGCATAGTAAACACAAAACCCTTACACAACTGGTGGCACATGACTTTAATCCCAGTCAGGGCTACAGAGAAACCCTGTCTCAAAATAGCAGAAACCCCATTACACAGGTAAAATGCTCTTTACATGTACAGATCACAATCAAAGCATCACCTCTGGACACTGAGCAGCAAGCCCTGGCCTTTCTGAGCCCAAGAGAGCATAAGCCATGGCCCCTAAAGAGTTCCTTCTCCAGCTAGGTGTAGGGGCACAACTTTCCCCTTAATCCCAGCACTAGGAGCAAATGCAGGTTGATCTCTGGGTTTGAGGCCAGCCCAGCCTACAAAGTTGAGTTCCAGGTCATCTACAGCTATTAGAAAGACCCTCTTTCTCTCAAAAAGAAAAAAAGAAAAAAGAAAAAAAGTTTCTTCTCACGAGTGTATATATGTGTGTGTGTATATAAAGCCTGATTCTATAGGACTTTGCCAGCATCGTCTGAAACAATATACTCCTTGCCATAAAACCTGGCTTTGGTTTCTTTGGTCCAGTAGACCTAAGTATGGGGGTGCCCACCACTCAGTCAACCTCCATCTTCTTATTTTGCAAAGAATCGATGAAGGTTTGCCACTCTGTTGGATAAAAGCGCTTATAAACATTGATCTTATTCCGAATCTGCTTTGGTGTATCTTGATAGTAATTCTTCTCATCCCGGGCCATAGCCTATATTACGAAAGAAAGACAACATGAAGAAAGTCAAATCTAAATCCTAGCTTTGCCTAAATTAAGCATGCCACTTCCTACCCTGGAGGTCCAGATTTCCCACCTCAGAAGTCATTAGAGGGCTGGAGAGCTGGTTCAGAGATTACGAGCACTGGCTGTTCTTAGAGGACCCAGCATGGCTCACAACTCCAGTCCTAAGGTGTCTGATGCCCTCTTCTGACCTCAGGCACCAGACACACACGTGATGTACATACATACATGCAGGCACTACACACAAAATAATAAAGGAAAAAAAAAAGAAGGGAGACAGGCAGACGGATCTCTGAGTTTGAGGTCAGCCTGGTCTACAGAGTGAGTTCCAGACAGAAAGGGCTACAACCAAACAAAAAATGTGTGCCAGCAGATCTTTATAAAAAGCCAGGGAAATACCTAACACTGCCTTTGTACAGGAGGCTGGAATTCAATGAGGTGAATTTGCAAAATGAAGCAACAGTTAACATTAAAGAAATCAACAGGGAAACCGCTTGCAGGATAAAGCACTTGCTACAGTGTCTTGGTTATGGTTTCTGTGGCTGTAACAAAACATCATGACCAAAAGCAACTTAGGAAGGAAAGAGTTCACTTGGCTCATATATCCTGAGTCATGGTCCTTGGAAGCAGGAACTGATGCTTTCCTGTAGAACCCAGGGCCACAGTGGGCTGGGCCCTCCCCCATCCCAATCACTAACAAAATTCGAGCTGGGCATGGTGGCACATTACCTTAAGCCTAGCACTTGGGAGTCAGTGGCAGGTAGATCTCTGTGAGTTCAAGGCCAGTCTGGTCTGTTCCAGGACAGCTAGAGCTACACAGAAAAACCCTGTCTCGAAAAACCGAAGGGGAAAAAAAAAGAAGAAAATGCCCCATCCTGGTGCCTGGTGTGGTGGCACATGGCTTTAATCCCAGCACTCAGGAGACAGAAGCAGGTGGAGCTCTGTGAGTTCAAGGCTAGCCTAGTCTACATAGCAAGTTTTAGGACAGCCAGGGCTACACAGAGAAACCCTGCCTAAAACAAACAAACAAACAAACAAAAAAAAAAAAACAAGGAGAGAGAGAGAGAGAGAGAGATGCCCTAAAGGCTTGCCTACAGCCTAATCATATGGAGACATTTTCTCAATTGAGGCTCCCTCTCCAATGACTCCAGCTAGCCAGCACATTATATAAGCCTGATGTTCTGAGTTCACTCCCCAGAACCTATATAAGAAGTTAAATGCAGCGGTGTGCATCTTTAATCCCAGTACGTTCTTAGTGTGATGGGAGGCTAACAGAGAAGAACCCACTACAAGACCAGCTAAACTGGGTTACGGAGCACAGCAGCAAAAAAGGAAACCTGCCTCAATAAGGCGGATGTCAAGAATTACCCTGAAAACTGTCTCTTCTCTCTCTCCTTCCCCCCACCTCTCCCTCCCTCCCTCCCTCCCTCCCTCCCTCACACACACACACACACACACACACACACACACACACACACACACACACACACATACACACTTCAAAGAAAGCCCAAAGGGCTGGAGAGATAGCTCAGCAGTTAGAGTTCTCATTCACATGGCATCTCATGTTTATAACTGTAGTTACCACCACCACCCCTTCCCAGGAATACACATACAGGCAGGGAAAGCAATTATGAACTTAAGAATCTTGAAACAATGGGATGCTTTCTTAGACCTCTTTCATTCTATTCAGTCGAAGATCAGGCTGAAACAGTGCAGTGTATTTTCCCAATAAGCCCAAGTGGCTCCTCACAGTAGGCCTCACCTTATAGTCCTCCCCATGATTCTCCACCATGTAATGAACATATTCAATGAGGTCCCGAGATAAGGTATTTCCTTTCTTCTCTGGGAGGCTGGCCTCTGCTTCCAGGTCTGGAGTAAAAGAAGCCAGAAATGGAATAAGGCATCACCTTCTGCATTATTTGAGCTGCCCAAACACCCCTCCATCCAATCCCATGACACAAGAATTCTTGTACTAACAGCACATCCCCATATTCAAAGTCAGAACTCTCTTTTTCAGGTTCTAGAATCCCAAAGTCTGCCTCCCTGAAAAGCAATTCTCAAGCTGTGGTTTAAAGTGAAACACACTAAGCTTACCAGGCTTAATCACTACCAGCCCCAGGGCAGAAAGATGCAAAGCTGGGCTCCCTTTGAGCTCCACTACCACCAGAACAGCTCTTCTTGGGTACTATTGCAGTATTTGACATGGGAAGGTCTGAATTGCTCAACATTAGAGCTGCAGGGCTAGACCCAGATTCTTACTGCTCCATATGAAGGGGGCTATATAACAAGACTCTGTCCAAACAAACAAAACCCACAAATAAAAGCCAGACACACTGTCAGCAGACAGTAGCAAAGCATGCTTTCCCAGCAAGAACAAGACCATGAAATCAATCTCATCTTAGCCAGGTAAGAAAAGCTAGGTAAATGGGGCAAAATATAGAAATGATGTAGTCAACTCAGATCCAAGTGTGAGGCACTAAAATCTCTTACAGTGAAAATTGTCTACGACCTGGTTGTCAAAGGCAGCCTCAGCTTTGCAAAACCAAAGTTCAGGAGAGCTGGTATACAGCAGTATGAATATATTCAACATGACTGAACTGTACATTTTATTTGTTTGGTTTTTGAAGACAGGGTTTCCTGTGTAGCTCTGGCTGTCCTGGAACTCACTCTGTAAATCAGGCTGGCTTCAAACTCAGAGATCTGCCTGCTTCTGCCTCCCAAGTACAGGGATTTAAAGCATTCATCACCACTGCCTGGCTGAACTGCACATTTTTAAAAGGCCAAGAAGGTAAGTTATATGTAAATTTTTAGCTACAGTTTATAAAAACTTAAAAAAATTCTTACAGGACATAATGGCATACACCTTTAATTCCAGAACTTAGGAAACAGAGGCAGGTGGATCCCTGTGAGTTCAAGGCCAGCCAGAGTAACACAGACACTGTCTAGAGAAAAAAACCAAAAAAAAATTATATGACTACAGTAAGTATATGTATTTTTGTATATACAATCAGCTGTAATAATTCTTTCCCCCCACACTGAACTCTGTAAATTTTTTAATGAACTATTTTTTTTAAGATTTATTATTTATATATGTGTTTTATCTGCATGTATGCCTGCAGGCCAGAAGAGGCCACCAGATCTTATTATAGAAGGTTATGAACCACCATATAGTTGTTGGGAATTGAACTCAGGACCTCTGGAAGAGCAGTCAGTGCTCTTAACCTCTAAGCCATCTCTCCAGCCCCTAAATTGTAAGATAAGCTAAAGACAGGACTCAAGTAATTTCGTATCAAACAGGTGTCTATGTGCCTGATAGTAGTGGTTCACACCTTTAATCCTGGCACTCGAGAAAACAACAACAACAAAAAGAAAAGAAAAGCAAAAAACACCGAATGAAGGTGTAACTTTAGCATTCATGAGGCCCTGGGTTCAATTCCCAGCTCACAAATACAGAAATAACAATAAACCTACAGTAGGCTAGGAAAGGGTAGGTGAGAATTCCAGAATATTCTCTTCCTTTCCTGAAAGTCACTGGAAAGATTAATGACAGCAGAATCTCTACAAAGCAGTTCACCTTTAAGTACATGAGAAACTGGAATAAACCTGAGACTTAATGCTCTTTTTCACCCTTGCAGACACCTGATTTTATCTTCTGTGAATGTCTCTGTCTTACCTTAGTTCATACATTTAAATCTCATCAATTTTAGCCGGAAATTGTTTCAGCTATGACACAGTACTACTTCTGAGCCTTAGATCAGATTGCTTCTCCTCTGAATCTTGGTCTCTCCCGCTGTAGTGAAGAGACTGGGTGCCTTTCCTGCCTTGTCAGGGCAGGCTGGTGGCCTAGAGCTCAGCCCACACTCACCATTCAGCACATAGGGCTTCCGCACAAGGTCCTTGGGTCTCCCCTCCGTGTCTACCTCCATGGCCTTTACCTGTAAAGAAAGAACGAAGCCTATGAGACCAGCAGACAAGCTCCTTTGATCACAGATATTACACCCATATTATGTTTTTCAACAAGCAATTCATCTTCTTGTGACTACCTACACCTCTCCTAATCTGCTGTGTGGTAACACAGTGAAACACTGTACATGAAAAGTGATGTCAGATATCTTCTCCATGTCAGTTACCTAACAGTGCTTAGTTAGAGCGTTACATTAAAAAAAAAAAATGTTGCTGGGCGATGGTGCACACCTGTAATCCCAGCAGTGCTCAGGAGTCAGAAGCAGGTGGATCTCTGTGAGTTCAAGGTCAGCCTGGTCTACAGAGCAAGTTCCAGGACAGTCAGAACTGTTACACAGAGAAACCTTGTCTCAAAAAACCAAAAACACCTTCATTCCTTGCATGAAGGAATAGAGAGAGAAACTTGCCTAGAGTCAACGGGCAAATTCACCCAGCAAGCCCATTTGTTGGGTTAATTAACCTGTCACATCTTACACTTCCTGGGAATTTAGTAGAGAACAAAACACAAGATATGCTAAGGGATTAAGAGGCACATTCAATATACAGATGTGCAAACAAATAATATGCCATCATGTACTTAAAATTGCTATGAATTGCCGGGCGTTGGTGGCACACGCCTTTAATCCCAGTACTCGGGAGGCAGAGGCAGGTGGATCTCTGTGAGTTCGAGGCCAGCCTGGTCTACAGAGGGAGTTCCAGGACAGGCTCCAAAACAATACAGAGAAACCCTGTCTCGAAAAACCTAAATAAATAAATAAATAAATAAATTGCTATGAATTAAAATAAAGCAGGAGGGGCTAGAGAGATGGCTCAGTGGTTAAGAGCACTGGCTGCTCTTCCAGGGGTCCTGAGTTCAATTCCCAGCAACCACATGGTGGCTCACAACCATCCACAATTCAATCTGGTGTCCTCTTCTGGCAGAATACTGTATATGTAATAAATAAAACCTTTAAAAAAATAAATAAAATAAAATAAAGCAGGAAACAGGTTAGTGGGTGATGTGGGGTGCTACTTTTGAAAGGTTCAAAGGGTGGTCCATATAGAATTGCTGGGAAGTAACTAGATGTCTCAGGTTAAGCATAACCAAAGGAAGTTTAGGAAGCAAAGATCTCAGGGTCTGGACAGTTAAGGACAGAAAAAAAGATACATTCTGGAAATTCCCCTGAGCTCCAAAACAGGCCCGAGAAGAAATGTTTTTGGTTTTTTGTTTGTTTGTTTGTTTTTTCGAGACAGGGTTTCTCTGTATTGTTTCGGAGGCTATCCGTCCAGCCCGGCCTCGAACTCACAGAGATCCGCCTGCCTCTGCCTCCCGAGTGCTGGGATTAAAGGCGTGCGCCACCAACGCCCGGCCAGAGAAGAAATGTTAAGTGGAGGAGGAACGACACCACAAACCAAGTCCATGTGTGTGTTGACGGGGAGTGTGAGTCGTTAGGGGGCTTTGACCAGAATTGGTGCAAGCAAAATGACTTTGTGGAAGATACGGGAAGGCTTCTGAAACTCAGCTCAATGAAGGAAGGTGGTAGAGAAGGAAAATAAGGGATGGCTAGGCTGGAGATGAGCCAAGTGCCTGAAACTTGCTTCATCAGTACCTTCCTCTTACGGAGGGGAACCGCCTTGTTGGGGTCCACGGCCAACCCCATCTCCGCCAGGTTCTGCCGCACGGATTTGGTGTGGTCCCAGGCATGTCGGATGTGGGAGCTAACCGCAAAGAAAGAGAGATCGAGATTCTGTCACCTCGCCGCCGACCCCAGCCGAGGCCCCCTGCCTCCTAACTGGCCCCTCACCACTCGATCCGTGGCGCAGCCTTCCGACGAGCATTCCGGTTCAGACGCTTTCGGTTGACATTGTAACCGAACTTCTGCCTCCGAGTCTTTCCCTTGGCCTTGGGCATCGCGTAGACTGCCGCACCAGCAGCTCAAACTCGGAAGCAGCAGCTCAAACTCCGGATCACACTCTCAGCACCGCGTGTTAACGGGCTCGGTGACCCAGCGCGCGCAGGGATTCTCGGGAAATGTAGTCTTCTTAGTAGCGCCACCACACTGACTTAATACAACTCCCAGAATGCAACTGGCAATGACGCCTGCGTACTACCCTCAGCAGGCTATTCCCCCGCCCTCGTAGTGACCTCGTCACCACAAGGCGGGGTTCGGCGACCGAATTTTTGTCCTACCTGTTTCTGTGCCGGTGGGTATGGCGGCTCCGCGTCCTGTGAGTTCAGAGGCGCCTTTCGATCCGTCCCAGACCCCAGTCATCGAGGGCTTCACCCCCACGGTCTACAGCAACCCAGAGAGCTTCAAGGACAAGTTTATTCGCAAGACTCGTGAGAACCCGATGGTCCCCATAGGTAAGTGTGTGCTTTAGGAACCGCAGACCGAGGCGACAGTGGTTTCGGGGGGGAATGAAATAGGGGAAGACCAGGCACGCCTTGAGAAGGGGAGAGGGAGTGGACCGAAGACACGACGAAAAGGACAGGGCGGGGAGGACTGGAACGGATCGGAACGTGTTGCGGGGCCTGATGAAGCGGGAGGAGGACGACCCACTGCCGCCCTCCTGTGTCGTCTACAAATCGTGCCTCTGGGAAAGCGGGGGCGGGCTGCATCCTCCAGGCATCTGCAGGACCCAACCTGTTGCCCCCTGTGTTGTCCTCTCCCCAGGCTGTCTGGGTACGGCGGCTGCCCTCTCCTATGGCCTTTACTGCTTCCACCGCGGCCAGAGCCACCGCTCCCAGATAATGATGCGCACCCGGATCGCTGCCCAGGGTTTCACGGTCGTTGCCATCTTGCTGGGGTTAGCGGCATCTGCTATGAAGTCTCGATCTTGAGTGTATGGCCGGGCCTTGAAAGCTCCATGGAAATCATTATAAAACCCAGGAGCAACAAACAGCCCTGTCAGACTTATTCCCTCCTTTTCTGACAGTACCCTGTTGTCATTTGGGTGAGGAAGTGGCCGATTTTGTGACTGATTTACACCCCCCCACCCGATATCCCAGGTTGACTTTAATTGGGTTGCACACTAAAAATTCGTGATGTGTCCCCTTAACTACTTTGCTTAATAAAACCTTAATATGTTTGCAATGTGATGAATTCTTTCTTAGTTTCATTCCCATGGTCAAAACCATGATTTCTGGTCTATGTTTTTAGGAAGGAGCAGGCTTTTGATAGGATTGGCCGTTAGAAAAATCAGCGGGCCTGATAGTGCCTATAGCCTCAACAATTTTGAAGGTTGGGAGAGAAGAATCTTGCCTGTGAGTAAGTTCAAGAGTTTAAGGTCAGCTAGTAGAGCAACTTAGTGAGACCCTATATCAAAAATTTAAATGGCCTGGGGATACAGCATGTGTTCCTTGTAAGGCCCTAGGCTCAGTCTCCAGTCATGAGCCTAGTGCCACCCAAACGTTCCTAGTAACAGTCAAGTCATTTGGCCACTAGTTAAAAGTAGAGATCCCCAAATGTTCCTCCATGGGATTCTAGTTCAGTGGGTCAAAATTGGTTTTGTTTGGTGAGAGAGGGGATCTTTGCCAGCAATTTTAAAGTTTCTGTAGCCTTTATTTATTTGTTTGTTTGTTTGTTTGTTTGTTTTTGGAGGCTGTCCTGGAACTAGCTCTTGTAGACCAGGCTGTTCTCAAACTCATAGAGATCCACCTGCCTCTGCCTCCCAAGTGCTGGGATTAAAGGTGTGCGCCACCACTGTCCGTTGTTTCTGTAGCCTTTAGATGGGCTGTCAGAGTCCTGTTGGAACCAGGATGTTCAACACCCACACCGCCATCATTTTTTGTCTCCTCCTTACTCCAGCTCTCCCTCCTCTGGGGCCCTTGGGCTCTGCTGATCTGAACCATCTAGCTTTTGACACAAAAGTCCCAACAGGCATTTGTGGTCTGTGGACAGCACTGTGTTGACTTCAGGAACTGAGCCCCTCCCATGTGTGACTCTGGCCCTCTCAACACCCATTTCAAACCGGGAAAAGCAAAGAAAGTGAAGACCCATTTCCTGTGGCTGGCGTGTCTGAAGGATCTCGAGTGGAAGGTCCATGGCTAGAGCCAGGTGTTTGCACCTCCATCATGATCTGAGCTGTGAGGCAGAATGCCCGCGTCAGATACTGCATTGTGAAGCCCACAAGACGTAAGGACGGGCCTTAAAGAGCTGAAGAGCCACTGCCAAAGGTCATGTCCACTGTTTGTGTTAGTGTTAGACAGCTACCCCTTAAAATACATTTGAGAGTTGGGTTCCGACTCTCAATTCTTTAGGTATTATATTGGCAATAGGGACTTTATAACCATTAGTAGTTTTAAAAGTCTTTAAGGTGGGCTTTAATCCAGTAAGACTAGCATCCATATTTTTTAAAAAGTCGGACATACAAGACATGTGTGGAAGGAAGATGAAGACAGCCATGTGCGGATGTAGGCAGAACTAGGGGGCAGCATCTGCAAGCCAAGGAATGCCAGAGCTACTGGAAGCTAGAAAAGACACAGATCTTGCCTTAGCATCTATAGAGGGTGTGGCTTGAGTGGGTCCCTGATTTGGGAATTTAGCCTCCAGAACTGTGAGACAACAAATTTCTGATGCTCTAAGACACACAGTTGTTGGTTCTTTGTTATGGCACTCTCAGAGAACTAATACTGTTGGCAGTTACTCAAATCTTTCTGAACATATGTAGATCATAATGCTCAGCTGTCCTGTTTTACAGCCTCTGCTGAAGGGAAAGAAGGTGTGGTCACTGTTGTTTACCCAAGTCCACAGGAGGGAAGGGCTGACGAGGGGAGGCAGTGCAGCATCTTAGAGGGTCCCTGTCACTCCCAAGAAAGAAGGTCTGACAGATGATGTCCTCAGTCTTAGACACCACCGCAGAGGCCACTGGTCTCACCTGCTTCCTACACTGCAAGCTGATTCTGTCCTGGGAGCCTTAGTTTTCTTAGCGGAGACCCTACCTTCAGGCTTGTTAAAGAATCACAAAGAGCAAGGTTGCAGAAGTGTTCTGTGAGAGCCTGTCTTTCCTCTTCCTGGAGGAGACAACAGACACAGACAGTCTGGGGTTCCTGCTTCCAGCGGGGAGCCCCTGAGTTCCCAAGAGCACATCCTCACCTCCTAAGGGCATGAAGCTGGGAAAGTTCCAAGCACAAAATGAAGCCCTGACACCAGCTGCAGCTTCCAGAGAAATGAGGATAATAATAAATAAGTGTAAAAAGAGTTAACATACCCTTTAAGCCAAGAAAAAATACATCAGGAGGGACAGTCACAATTGAGTGGACTGAGAGGAGTCATGAGGGCTGGGACATGGGGCCAGGAGGGAGTGGGGGTTGAAAGGGGTGAGGGTCCCACTTCCCAGCTCCCAGAGGTGCAGAGGAACAGAACAGGCTGTGTGTGGCAGCTGTCTGAGGAAGTTCCCCGCTGGCTGAAGCAGCCGCTCCTCTGCCTCAGCAAGGCCCATGCTTTGTGGCCGTCCTTGGAGCAGGCACCTAGCGGGACAGTGGTGTCTGCTTCAGTGACATGAGCACCGAGCGCAGGCGGGACACGTCTTTGCACTGCTTGCTGCTCTTGGGGTTGAAGTCACACAGCTGGGCCACCTTCTCCCACTCCGTGCCTGGGGTCTCCTCCTTGGATTCCTTCACAAAAGCCTCTTCAGATGCCCTGCAGGTGGAGAAAGGACAAAGGCTTTCATGGCTGTCTTCTCCTGGGTCACTAATGTCCTGCTCCCATCACTTTGCTGTGCAGCCTACTCTGGGGCATTACCCAGTCTTCCCAGCCCTGTGCCCTGTGACTTCAGCCACCAGGAACAGTCTTGACATAAGAAGTGTAGGCCTAAGTGTGGAAGCCTAAGTCATCTAGACTCAGGGCTTTTGAGCTTACTCTCACCTCTTCCTGAGAGGGTTTTTCACTGGCTCGTGGCCTGATGCTTTTTGTTGAACCTGTGGTTCACTGTGTAGGCCAAGCTGCTACTGAACTCTTGAGCTCAAGAGAGCCTCTTGCCTCAGCCTCTCTGGTCCTGAGATGACAGGTGTGTACCACTGCACCTGGCTAGCTTACTGCTTGTCATTTGATTCCCAGAGTGGGCTTTATCTCTTCAGAAAGGCATTCCCAGTCTGGGTATTCTGTGTTCATTCTGTCCCTTCCTACCTTTCCCTCTGTTTTTGTTGGTTTGTTTATATTTGTTTAAATGGGGTCTCGCATAGGCCAGGCTAAGTGCATAGCATCTTGCTGAGATTACAGGTGTGTAATCTCACTTGTATCTTTCCATCTTTTTTCCTTTCTTTCCTTTTTCAGTACTAGGGATTGAACCTGGGCCTCAGACATTCTGGTAGTTAGTCTACCACTGGGCTATGTCTCAACTATTTTCAACACCTTCAAGACCTGACCAAAAGAGGACACTGACTAACCACCTAACCAACTATGGAATGGATGTAGAATCTCTACAAGCATGTCTGACTCCAGAAGCCTGCGCTCAAAACAGTCCTGTCTGGATGGAGCCACAGCCCGGGGAAGGCTCCATTGGAGGCGCCGCTTCAGTTGCAGTCGTGTTAGGATAAAAACTGGGGTGGTCTCTGCTTCAGGGTCTACTTGTTTTGATGATACTGGGTTGAATGTCTGTCTGTCTGTATGACAGGCAAAAACTCTACCACACTTCACAATTGTGTTGACAGTTTTGAAAGTCACTGATTTCTAGTGCTCAGCCAAATGGAACACGTATAACACACACCAGGATTCAGTACCATAGAGGAAAAGGGGCAGAAAGATTTTAGTCAGAGTTCAGGAATAATGGAGAGAAAAGTATCTCCTGAACATTACAGGACCCTAGCAGTCATGAACTCAAGTAGCTGTGGTTACCTGTACAAGATCAAACCACTCAACATTGTAGCATGGAGTAGGAGGGGTTCAGGGCCCCCTCCCTGTAGCTAAGGGGCTGTATAGACAGCCCATGGCTTCTGGGGGAGGGAAAGTCAGTTTTGTTTAAGGGTGTGGCTCCGGGTCAGTTCACACTGAGGAGTTTAGGAGCAGCACAAATTGGACTCAGTTATTTGGAAGGGGAAAAGGATACAAAGTTGCGGCCAAGTTGGGAGGTGGGCCTGGGTGATGGGAGAGAGCGCTCCACTGGGCCGCCCTACCAGAAGAGCTGATCCAAGCTCAATGACATGACCCCTGTCATGATCTTGCCTTTCTTCTGTGTGCTCACCTAATCTGTGAGGAGAGAAACATGGCTTCCACTCTTCTGATCTGTTCTCTGAGCTGAGCAGCCAGTGTGGTGACAGGTCTATGGGGCTGGACAGTGGGTGTGTGAAGGCTCTTTACCCTTGGAGCTGCCTGTCAGGGTCAAGAGGTTCCTCTGTCTTTATTACTGATCTGTGTACCATGCCTGGCAGTGTGGCATCACCATGAAGCTTGTTAGAAACAGGCTGAAGCCGGCAGTGGTGGCGCACGCCTTTAATCCCAGCACTCGGGAGGCAGAGGCAGGCGGATCTCTGTGAGTTTGAGGCTGGGCTGGACCGACAGCCTCCAAAACAATACAGAGAAACCCTGTCTCGTAAAAACAAAACAAAACAAAACAAAAAAGAAAGAAACAGGCTGAGCCTCACTTCAGTCCTGCGGAGCCAGAGTCTGCCTTGCTCAAGCTCCCTTGGAAATGCTTGGGCAGGTGAAAGGCTGGGAAGTCTCAATTCCAATTCTGTCTCCTTCAGAGCCTTTTTGGGTTCTCTGGACCAGTTCCTTGGGTCCAGTAGGAGCACTGAACCCAGTAGTGTTCTATAGCACCCACACCTGCCAGATTCCCTGTCACCTATTGGCAGCCCCCATGGCTCCCCACTGCCTGGAGGACCAAATCTAAGTTAGCCTAGTACAATAGAGTCCAGATGGGACCTCCCAGCCTCAGTTTCCATCCGTCCCCACGAACCTGGCCTCTCAGTCGTCTCCAGGCCTCTGCCCTGGCTGCTTCTCCCATCTAGAGTGTCCTTCCTTACTACCCAGCCATTCATTTTTAAATCTTAAGGTGCAGCCGAGGGTTGTAAGTCCGAAGCATGCACTGGGTCCCCAGCAGAGAGGGTGGCTTCCAGAGCTAGTGGTGTAATGTATTCCAACCCATGAGCAATTTGCAGGGGAGGGCTATGTGTCTCTTCTCTCTGTTTGGCCGGTGACTGGCACAGGATTAGTACCAGCAGGTAGGGGCCAGCCGGGAGAAGGGAGGGCAGGCTGCTGCCTGCTGTGCCCTGTGCTGTGTGCACGAGGGCCAGTGCAGGTGGCAGTAGAGGTTGCAGTGGCATGTGGCCCAGCTCCATCAGGGACAGTAAGGAAATGTGTGAAATGAGTCAACAACACTCAGACATCACTGTCTTCCTGTGGCTTCCCCACCACTGCTGTCCAGAACATGCTACCTGTCACCTGGGGCTGGCGTAAGGGGACCCTGCCGTTCTACATCCAGAGCAGCACAGGTCCAGCCACACTCCAAACCCAGATACACAGGAGAAGAGCTGCTGTGCAGTGGGCAAGGGCTCTTGGTCAAGTCCGTGTACTTAGGGGTGGGCAGGGGTAGACATATAAAGACATCTCTTATGCTTATGCCTTCAGCACTCTATGCTTGGTGTTTGTCCAGTGAAAGTCCGCTTCTCACCTACCCGTTCCCAAGAAGAGTCTCAGAGAGGAGCTAGGCCTCTGTGTCCTTCCCCCTCCCCTGTGGGACTGGGTAGTGCATTCCCTCCCCCACCCCACTCGGGACCTGTAATGGGCAAAGCTGCCTCCAGCTCACTGGAGGGAAAGATGGAAGGCAAGGGCTGCACCGGTCCCGGAGCTCCCCCTGTTCTGGTCATTGCTCTGAGCCCAGCCACATTCATTTATACCACACAGACAAGAGACTGAAAACCATGGGGCTGCCCTCCACAGCTGCCCCTGCAGAGAGCAAAGGAGACACGTACACATAGCCAATGATATCAGCATCTGGCTGCTGGTAGAAGGCTTTGTCAGCAATCCTTGAGGAAAAAGTTAGGAGAAGGAGTTAGGTGGGGGAGGACAGACAGCAAGACAGGCAGGCACAGGGTTAAAGAGAAAGAGAAACAGTGTTAGTACCTCCGCAGGAGACATGTTAGGAAGTACAGTTTAAAAGCTAACAGTTACCCATAAGAGAGTGGGGAGTCCTGCACCTTTGATGGCTTCCTACTGTTCAAGGAGATCTCTTCCCAAGACCCTTCCAATGTCACTCCCATATGCCACCTACTTCCCAAACCTTTCCCTCTACATGTAGACTCCCTGCAGACCAACACACTACATGCTCGCAGGTCTGCAATGTGCTCCTAATGCTGCGATCCTCACAGTCAACCCTCAGACACAAGTCTCTAGGCCAGCGATTTTCAACCTTCCTAATCCTGTGACCCTGTAACACAGTTCCTCATGTTGTGGTGACTTTCAACCACAACAGACAATTATTTTGTTGCTACATCATAACGGTAATTTCGCTACTGTTATGAATCATAATGTGAGTATCAGGATATCGTGACCCACAGACTGAGAACCACTCACTGTTCTAGACACTGCTTCTTCTCTGGCATGCTAACTGCTTCTTTGCTTTTATGGTCTTCTCACACAGGGCCCTTAGTGCGTCCAAGTTTGGCTGTACCTGTGTGGTGCTCTCCTCTGAACTCTCAGAGGACACAGAAGGGTCCTCGTCTGGCACCCATTGTCCAGGTGGCGTGCAGTATGTTGACTGTCTTTCCCTCCTGGGAAGATACTGTATCTTGAAGGGTACAGCATCCCAAGCGGGAGAACATCCATCTCCATAAATGTTCCCTGGTTTGCAGCCACGCCCACTCCCGGCTTGTGCTTTGCAGGGTCAGCTGCTCCCACTGCAGTCCCTGTAGTTTAGATGGCACTGGCCCCCTTGTGCAGCCCAATGAGTGAGACTTCCACCCTGCCTGGGTCCCATTGGAGCATCCCTCCTCCTGTCCACGGTCAGGGGCCTGGCATGGGCACATAGCCCAAGCCAACTCTGGCAGGAGCTACTAGATACTTGGCTATTTTCACTGAGCTTGACCACACGGCAGAGCAGAACCCTGAAGCAGCTGTTTCCATACAGGGGTGTATGTCCAATAGTAAACCCAGAACGGAAGGAAGCAGAGCTGAGTGGCAGGGAGAGTGACTGCTGATTGACCTCGCTTATGTCCCAATTCTGGGCCTCTCAAGTGTGCCGGCCACCGTTGTCCTTTCACCCCTCAGTCACACTGGGGTGAAGTACTGTCATTTCCCTAAGAAATCCTCAGGCTGGCCCTGCCCTCCCTAAGTTACCTACAGAGGGCTCAGGGTCCTGGAGAATCTCGTCACACTCCAGTCCTTGGCACCCATCCTGCCTCCCCTCAGTCATGGAGAGGGGTAAGGGCTTAGGAGAGGCATGCCATGAGGAACCCGAGGCTTCCAGCAGCTCTTATCCCCGTGTCCTTACTACATCGTTCATCTCAAGACAGCACCACTCCCCCCGCAGCTCCCATGGCTCCTTGATGTTCTCACAGCTCCTTCAGGGTTCCTTAGCTCCCTCATCTTCTCACAGCCACTCCCCGTGTTCTCCTCAGCTCCCCTCAGGTCCCCAGGTTCACTCGCCTGTTGTTGATCTTGTTCTTCTCAACTTGCTCGCTTTGGCGCTGGTTCCACTCCTCCAGGTCCTTTTTGGCCTTCTCCCGCCACTCCTGTTCAGTCACCTTGGAGGCAGCATCTGTGAGCCCAGCAGAATGAGTACAGCAACTTTGCTGTGGAGAGCAGCCACCCTGGAAGCTCCACCCCTGGCCCCCAGCCAGCAGCCCAAGGCCCCACCCTCCGCTAAGTGGGCCTGCACAGACTCCAAGTCTGCCTCACTCTGCCCCACCCACTGTGTCCCAGAAGCCATCCCTGTAGGAATCAGCCCTCCCCAGCATGCACTCACCCAGCTCCTGCAGCCTTTTTTTCTGTTCCTCTCTCCACTTCCGGATGCTCTCAGGCTCCTGAGTCAGCCTGTCCACCTGGGCAATTGCAGCATAGCCATCGGCAGGCCCATTGGCCTCCTACAACATAAGCACAGTGTTCCCCGCCCATCATGTCTGCCCTGCTGTTTGTGCTGCTCTTACTGCAACCAAGACAGCCCTCAAATCAGGCAGCCCAGCCCACTCTACCACCCAGCGACTATACCTTCCCACTCTGTGTTCCCTCTGCCGGTAACACTGCTCCCATGAGGCCTCAGGCAGGTCACTCAACCTCCCAGTGCCTGATCATTGTCTCAAGCCCAGCCATCTCATTTATATTCATGTTCATCATAAAACAAGGTTAATCATCCCATAGAGTTGATACAAGAATGAAATGAGTTTTAAAACTAAATTTGGGGCTGAAGAGATGGCTCCATGGTTAAGAGCACTTGCTGTTCTTGCAGAGGACCCTAGTTCAGTTCCCAGCCCCAACATGGTGCTGCACAACTGTCTGTAACTCCAGTTCCAGGGGACCAGATGCCCCCTTCTGGCCTCTAAAGGATATGCATGCTGGTGGTATGCCTACATACATGTAAGCAAAACACTCATACATCTGTTTTTTTTGTTTGTTTGTTTGTTTTAGGTTTTTTTAAGACAGGGTTTCTCTGTAATGTCTTGGAGGCTGTCCTGGAACTCACTTTGTAGACCAAGCTGGCCTCAAACTCACAGAGATCCACCTGCCTCTGCCTCCCGAGTGCTGGGATTAAAGGCGTGCGCCACCAACGCCCGGCTACATACATCTGTTTTAAAGCCGTAGATGCCACCATCATTAAAATCTGTTACAGTTGTATTCCATGATAAAACTCACACAGTCTAACACGACCTCATTACTAATGTGTTCATCTGTCCATCAGAGTGTTACCTCTGTGACAGCAGGGACCGTGTCTGTTGTGTTCCATTGTTTTGTGTACAGAGCTAACCACAGTGCCTGACACATGGGAGACAGCAGACATTTGCTGAGTGAATGTGCAGCCCAGAGACAGGCAGAACGACCGTGACTAAAACTTGGCCATGGCTGTGGGGAGGGAACACCTGGAGAGATGACTCAGCAGTTAAATGTTGTGGGATATTTGTACCCTGTATGAGGATGTATTTGTTGTGATTGGTGTAATAAGAAGCTGAACAGCCAATAGTAATACAGGAGGCTTAGGCGGGACTTCCAGGGAGAGAGAGGAAGAGGAGGAGGAATTGAGGCACGCAGAAGCCAGGAGACACAGAGAGACAAGAGGTACAAGATGGAAGAGAGGTGACAAATACCATGTGATAGATTAAGAAAAATGGGTTAATTTAAGTTATAAGAGCTGGTTAGGAACAAGCCTAAGCTGTAGGCCGAGCTTTCGTAATTAATAAGAAGTCTCCATGTCCTTATTTGGGAGCTGACAGGCAGGACAAAAAAAGACTCCTTACAGTTAAGAGCATGACTGCTTTTTCAGGGGACCTCGGTTTGGCTCCCAGCACCCTCTTAGCAGCTCACAACTGTCTGTCACTAGAGCTCCAGAGGATCTGACACCTCTTGTTGTCCCCGTAGACTCCAGGCATAGACATACATAGAGGTGGTTTGAATAAGAACAGCCCCCATATTATCATATATTTACATAGAGGTGGTTTGAATAAGAACAGCCCCCATATTATCACATATTTACATGCTTGGTCCCCAGTCGGTAGAACTGTTTAGGAAGGGTTAGGAGGTGTGGCCTTGCTGGAGGAGCTGTGTCCCTGGGGACACACCTCCAAGCCCACCCCATTGCTACTTACTCTCTGTCTTGTGCTAGTGGCTCAAGATGTGAGCTCTCTGCTACTGCTCCGGCACCATGACTGCCTGTCTACTGCCACGCCATTACTGTGACGGCCATGGACTCTGACCCTCTGAAGCTGCAAACCCTAAATAAGCTCTTCTCTAAGTTGCCTTGGCCTTGATATCTTATTACAGCAATAGAAAAGTAACGAGACACAGGCAAACATCCATACATATAAAATAATAAAACCTTGCTGTGGTAAACTTGGACTCTAAAGCCATACAGTTGCATTGCTGAGAGGTGGAAGATGTGTGTTTGGCTGGGTGAGTTCCTGAACATATCCAGCCTGTCTGAAAATGGGACTCATAGTAAGATGGCCTCCCAGACCTGATGCTGGGATTTGATGCAACAGTGTTTGTAAAGAGACAGGAATGGGCCGGGCATTGGTGGCACACACCTTTAATCCCAGCACTCGGAGGCACAGGTAGGCAGATCTCTGTGAGTTCTAGGCCAGCCTGGTTTACAGAGTGAGTGCCAGGATAGGCTCCAAAGCTACACAGAGAAACCCTGAAACCCTGTATCAAAAAACCAAGAGAGGGGGAGAGCGAGAGAGAGAGAGAGAGAGAGAGAGAGAGAGAGAGAGAGAGAGAGAGAGAGAGAGAGAGAGAGAGAGAGAGGAATGGCCTAGAACTTGTTCTACCTGAAAATAACCTTGAACTTCTGAGTGTAGGAATCAAGTGTATGCCATTACACTAGGTTTACTCAGTGTTGTGGATGAAACTCAAAGCTCTGTGCAGACTAAGCAAACACTCTCCCAGCTGAGTTACATCCTCAACCTTTGCAAAACAGAGAGTCCCTGCTACAGAGTGATGGCTCAGTGGATGGTATTAGGATCGTTCTATTTATTCACTTGTATGTGCCAGAGATGACATGAGTGTGGAGGTCAGAGGGCAGCCTGAAGGAGCTGGTCCTCTCCTTCCACTGTGTGAGTTCTTGGGATTGAACTCGGGTCCCCAGGCTTGGCAACAAATGCCCTTGCTGTTTTGCAACCTCACCAGCCATCACTGCCATTTTTCATTCCCATTTTACAGAAGAGAATACCAAGGCCAAGAGAGGTGGGTAGATGTAGTGGGGTTCAGATCTGGTGACAGAATTGCTAGAGCTTGGGACAGAAGTGTTAGAGGCACTTCGAGTCAGTGTGGAAGGAACATCTCTAGTCTGAGAGACCCTTTCTTCCTGGAAGGTGAGAGTGTGGGTCCTGCCACCAGGCGTGGCTGGTGCTCTGTCCTCCAGTTTTCCTGTGGGCACTGACCCCGCAGGGCTCCGAATGCAGTGTGCCCCGCCTCCCTGCCCCGCCTCCCTGCCCCACCCTCCCAGCACGTCCCCTCCTCACTCCACCGTGGGCATTTCCACCTTGGGATCCACTTCCTCCCAGCATGTTCCAGGCTCCTCCATCCCAGCACCCCCTGGCATAGTCTTCTCTACCTCTACTATCTACCCAAAGCTCCCAGTGGGCAGGGGCATGGCAGGACCTACTCACATTACAGCCCTCATATCCCCCAGTTCGTGTCTCCCTGTCCTCCAAGCATTTGCCCAACGGTCAGTGTTGCTGATGTTTAATGCCTTTCCCCACAGGACAGCGTCTGGGATCCCTCTGTCCCACATTGTCCTGAGCATACGGTAGGTGCTCACCCCAGAGCTAGCAGCCTGGCTGTGAGGAGGAGCTTGGAGAGCAGTCCCTCGAAGCAGCAGGGCTCCATGGCAGGTGTCTGAGCAGTGAGGGCAGGGCCAGTCCTGGGCCAGGGCCCGGTCCCGGTCCAAACACGCCCAGCCCTTGCATCTGGGCGTCACTGATGCCTCTTTCCCACACAGAACCACAATCAACAGACGCTGCTGTTGAAGCCTGAACCTTGTGTGTGTCGTTGACTCTTCCCTTATTGGCCCCACATTCAGTCTAATGGGAGGCTCTGCTGGTACTCTCTAAGGCATGTCTGAAAGGTTCAGGCATTACGCTGGCCTGCCCTGTTACCTGGCAGGATGCACTCAGGCAACACTCTGGCCAGCCCAGAGTTCTGTGAGAACCACGCAGGTGCAAAGGACCCCTTTAAAGGACTGACCCCTGCCTGCTTACACTCTGTTTTACTCTTGTCTTCATCTCCATCTCCTCTCCATCTCCTCTCCATCTCCTCTCCTCTTCTCTCTCTCTCTCTCTCTCTCTCTCTCTCTCTCTCTCTCTCTCTCTCTCTCTCTCTCTCTCTCTCTCTCTCTCTCTCTCTCTCTCTCTCTCTCTCTCTCTCTCTCTCTCTCTCTCTCTCTCTCTCTCTCTCTCTCTCATCTTATCCCTCAGCTCTGCACGGGTTGGTTACCTCTCACCCCCCTTTCCCTCCCTGTCTACCAATAAACTCCACGTGGGATGGTTGAGTCACGGTTTGTATCTCATTACTGGATAAACCTAAACATTTTAACAACAATGTCCCCAATCAGATTACATTTCCTTCCTTTCAGCCACCGATGACTTTGTCCTAGATTCAATCCCCAGATACAAAATAACATGACCCATGCAAAGCCTAACTAAAATAATGTCCTGTCCCCTGTCCAGTTTTGTTGTTGTTCGAGACAGGGTCTATCTGTAGCTTTGGAGACGGCCCTGGAACTCACTTTGTAGACCAGACTGGCCTCGAACTCACAGAGATCTGCCTGCCTCTGCCTCTCCAACAATAACAACAACAACACAAACCCAAAGTCTTTCCACTATAATTTGAATAAAAATCCAAAGTCTCTGCTCTCTCCTGCTCCCTGATCTGTTTTGGTCAGTGCACCCTTGACACACTGTCCGTGAACAAGTCCTGTGGTCCTCCCCACCCCCAAGGGTCCTCCTAGTCTGGAGCCCTCTCCCCTAGACCCAGCACTCCCTCCCTCCCTCCTTCCCTCCCTTCTTCCTATTTTGAGACAGGGTCATGTTAGGTTACCCAATTGGGCCTTGAAATTTTGATCCTTCTGCCTCAGTCTCCAAGTAGCTGAGACTACAGGCATTTGCCACCACACTGGGCTATAGCGCTTTAAGCAATTTCTCTACAGTTAGCATTCCTCAAATATTCTCTGATCCTGAACTTTGAAGTTTTTTTTTCTACAATGGTGGTCTCTGTATTGAAAATACGCAGTTTTGTTGCTTGTCACTATTTCCTAAATACTATTTATTATGTAACAACTATTTACAAAGCAATTACATTGTATTAGGGTTATACATAATCCAGAGAAGATTTAAAGTACACAGAAGATGTGTGTAGGTTACATACAAATATTATG